CGACTCGACTTTCACAAAATGCAATCAACACTCTCTCGGCAACGCCACTCGCAAACTCTGCTTCTCGACTAACTCTCTGGCCGTTGTAGCATTCTCTTGTCTTTTGCTAGGCCCACTGCACACGTGTTCTGCAGACACTCGTAGCCAGGGTCACGTAGGTCTTTTCTACGAAACTATGCACTTGAAAAGACCGATGACACATTGATGGACTCGACGGCGCCTCGGCTCTCGCGACATTGTTCATGGTTCGCCCGATATCTCTTAGGCTTTTCGTCCACGATACTACATATGAAACATACATTTAGCATCGCAATTATTCCTAGCTCTATTAATTGTCACATTTTCAGTTAGCGATAAATCTTCGTAAACTGAGTTTCCGTTCGTTTCCTAGTTTCGAAGGAAACGGGTTTCACTACATTATTACAAATACACTTTCGTAGTATCTATTGATAAATATTGCGTTAAGCAATAAGGTATCATGCATATTACAATTTGTTACGTCCGGTGACTCTTTACGGTGGAGGCAGCCACTAGCTGTGTAACTATAATTAAGCGGACCGCAATAATCCTAAGGAACTGTCATAAACTTAAATTTTTCGATTCTACCGTTAAGGCCGTTAATTGGTATAAAACATCTTCAAGTCAACAGGTTCCTTATGATTATTGATCTGTCAGGTAAAAAGTGGGGAAACGTGGGTTTTCTTATTTTTCCCGGTATTTCCATCCGCTAGCAACCAGTGGTGGGGCGATCAACACCCAGCAAGAGTTTTCCTCTGTGAGAGCATCGTTACCAAACTTTACTGATTTTCCATCTTTAGAACAGTCAACATCTCTTGACCGGGTTTCCACCCTTAGATCAGTCACCTATTTAACTTATATCTATACGCACTGAGCGTAACCATCTTGTCTACAAGTTGTTGGAATAAAGTGTAAATTATAACCTGTCACCTGAGTGTTATAATCTATTCAACAACCTCTATTATCCTAAACGAAATAGGGGATCGATCATTTCGTGGCGTCGATTGTATAATCGTAACGGGAATTTACGCCTCCCGTTAAAGCACTTCCTCGCGATCGCGTCTTTCCGCGAATGGTCGAACACAATTGTTTGCAACCTGTAACACATTTCCACCATTTGACGTTTCGAAATTCACATTTTGCAGCACTAACTCGGAATGATATTTTCGTACGATTATCAAACTCTTCGATGGCTAAATTGAATCAATAACATGTTAATTTCATTTAATATAATTCAATAAATAAATTTATAAAATTTCACTCTGGATTATTTCGATTTCTGTGTTTGTATGTATTCAAATTCTTAAATTAATCCTGCAATGTACAACACCTTTACAAAGTTTTATTTACATTAATATCCTAATTACAATAATATTCTAATCATATGTAATCAATATTCTAATCACGAAAATGCAAAAAAAAGGCAGGTTTTAAACAATCGAATAACGTAATCCTATCAACATGCAGAATCACTTCAATTGAAATCCATAGTGTCTCCATGTTTATCGATTACGAAAGACAATTTTTATGAAAGCAAAGTCACAATTGAACTAACGTTATTATGCAGTGATGCTATACAAGTCACAAGATACAAGTTACCAGTATCATTGAATATCTTTGTAATACATATTCGCAAAAAGAGAGCCACTTCCGATTTCGATGATTTCGAAATGATTTTGTAGAGCTCAACATTTTGAACAATTTTTACCTGTACATGTAGCTGGCGGTCGGTTCTAGTTTTCACGCTGGATTCGGCTAGTAATAAGATTAACCCGGTTGCGCCGCGATGCGACCGGCCAGAATTGTTTATATTAGTACTGATAAGGGGATTCGCATGGCCGGCCGCCTCGCAATATCCAGATTAATGTTATACTATCTACTAACCCCAATCTGGCTTCGAAACTAAGGTCGAGCGACGGGGCATTTTTGCATATACAGAAACCTTCGACATTTGCCAGAAATTCGAGACTCAAGTGTTGCAGCTATGAAGAGGTAGGAACGATTCTATACCTCGAAATTGAGATCTTAGCTGTGCCGAACGTAGTAAGGGACAACGCGGGTGAAAGAGAAAGAAGGATTGATAGTCAAAGCGTTCGGCAAATATTAAAGGCTCCCGATAAGTTGGGACCTTTAACTCAAAAATGAAAATATTTTAGTTTCGATTTGTGATCAATGAAATCTCTACCAACACTTTTGTTACACTATTTTTTCTGATTAAGATGACACTAAATACAATGTAATTTGGAGCATATTAGCGTACGTAATAAAGGATAATTAAGTAAGTGATAGTAAATATCAATGAGTAAATCTAATACAAATTATATCGTGTTTGGTCTCCTTTTAATCAGAAAGTCCTTACAAGTACATTAGTAAAAGTTTAATTTAAAAAACGTCAGAAATAGAAAAGTTTCGTTTTTGAGTTGGTACATACGAAACTTGTCTCGGCGATATCTGGCATTGGATCGTATTACACTAATCGACTGTGGCTGGTCGTCGAGGTTCATGTTGCGTGGAGGGGAACCTATTCCCAGTGGGG